AGGTGGTTGTGGCCCATGACAGGGAGCCAGCAGAGTCCTGCAAGTTTGAGGCACAGGGTGGTTTTGGGATAAAGAAGCTGTCACAGTGACAGGGTGGGCGGTTTCCCAAAGGTGAACAGGGTTTCCAGGATAGAGAAAAGGAGCTCCACAGCTGAGGTTGGGAAGAGCTGAGTCCTTTGTCCAAACACCATGTTAGGCCAGGTGCTGGAGTTTGAGCACAAACTGGGCGGTAACACATGCAAGAGACTGGAATGCTTGCACAGCGTCTTTGAACAGTACTGGGCCTGCAGCTCACCCTGCGGCACCCAGACTCTGTGGGGTCCAACGGGAAGGGAAGAGCTCTGGCAACTGCATTCAGATTCTCCTCACCCAAGCATTCACCATGTGTCCACTGGTGTCTGAGACCCAGGGCCAGTTTGGGCCCTTGCTGTCGTTGCTGTTGGCCAGGGCTGTTTCATACAATGCCCTGGCACCTCCGTGTGTTAATCCAGTTTTTGTGATTGATGAAAAGCAAAAATCTTGACCAAAAAACACGTTTGCTTGCAACCTCATTGCCATAGTAACGGAGGTCCTGAGGACACCTCTGAAGTAGGTCACCATGGACCCCATTTTGCTGCATCTCCCAGCATGGTATGGCTCTAGAAGCAGGGTGCACCCACCACAGTCCAGCCAGGCATCACCCTGTCATAGCCCAAATCTGCTCAGGAAAGGCCAGGCTGTAAAACTACCCTCTGGTGCCAACACCCAAGGGTGCCAAGGGCTGTCCTGACCTGATCAAGAGAAACTTCTGTCCCTCCTGCTGCCCCCATGACAGCTTGTGGTGTCCCCCAAGTCAGGGCTCCCTTCCATCCTACCTTCTCCCCATCCCCCACCTCCTCGCTGCCTCCCTCCCCCTTTTCCCCCAGCGCCTCTCCTCCTGCTTTGCATAATTTTCCATTTTCAGTGTCCCCTTTTCTTTCTCTCCTCTCCATATGGTGCGTCCCCCTCTCTGCCTGGCGCTGGAGCCATCCTTAACAAGCTCGGCAAAGCCCTCTCTCTCAGGGGCTGCACATGAAAGATGCTCTGTAAAAATAGAGGCTGGGACAGAGCTCCCCCTTTTTTCCCCCTTGATTTATATGGGGCTGGGATGTGGGAACGTTTCTGAGTCTCATTTTAGAGCCGCCGGGTGCTCGTGCTTGTTCTCTCCAGCCATTCAGTGCAGACCCCCAAGGCCATCTCGTCCCCAGCCTTTGATCTGCAATGCAGAAAGAGTGGCTGGGGCAAGTTTGTGCCTCTCATCCCGCCCTTGCCCTCGTTTTGGCTGGCAGGGAGAGATGCCCTGTCCTGCTGCACCAGGGAGAGGCCATGGCCTTTCCTCTCTGGTGTCTGGTGGCCTTTTCCAGCTGGCTATTTTGGCTCCCTCCTACATCCTTGGTGCCATGAGGACCTTCGGTCTCTCCAGGTCTCACCAGGCTGGGTCGTGGTGAAGCAGCGGGTCATGGGATTTGTGATACAGAGTGACTCTGCACGTCTAACCCACCACTGCCCCTCTCCAGCTCCACCATGGATACTTGCCAGTGAGCACCCAGGGATGAGTGGAGGGTGCCAGGGCTGAGCAAACAGCACTGGGGCTGGTGATGGCTGCCCAGCATTTGATGGGTTAAGCTGGTCTCCAGCTAATTTCTCCCAGCAGCTCCCCTCCTCCTCCTCCTCGTACTTCTGTATGCAGCAGGCAGGGCCTCAGCGCAGGTTCCTGCACTGAGCTGTTGCCAGGGGAGTAGTTAGGCGAGTCTGAGCTATGTGGGGAAAAGGCCCGGGCTGTCAAAGTGTCTGAGATGAACCATAGCCCGGTCCCCCTGCAGCTGGGCCCAAGCATGCATCAGCCCTTGTTTGGAGCCTGGGAATGGCAAAGCCCAGGGAGGTTCAAGGGCAAACTTGCTATTCATTAGTCAGGGGTCCTTGACGTTCCCACTCTCTGTCTCCCTTCTTCTTCTTCTTCTCTTTTCTGTCCCTCTTTTGACAGATTCCTGGGTGCTTTTGGGGAAAACTCCCCTCCTCCTCCTCGCCCCAGCAAAAGCCCTCCACATAAACTTCCCCAGCAGACAAGGCAGGAGGACAATAACGTCAGGGCCACGATGCAAACGAGGACCAGCGGAGCAGCCATGTCCCCCGGGTGTCCTTTCTCCCTGGTCCTTCCTGCGCTGCCGCGGGAGAGCCGACGCATTCATTTCACTCATCTTGCCCATCGCCGATGTTTTATTATCTTGATGCTTGCAGGAAATTGTAACTTGAGATAAGGAAAATGTCAGCCGCCTTCTCCTCTCTCCTGTAGCCCAAAGCGCTGGGAAGTTCCTCCGTAGGAAATGTAAATGCTTGCCCAGGTGCAGAGGATGAGCACGAGATGGAGGGAGCCTCGAGAGGCCGTGTGAGCATCTCCACCAGGAGATAAAACTCGCAGCGTAGGCGTAACACGGAGCCTCCCTCCCACCCCACTGAACGGAATATTTCATAGCTCTTAGAAGCCGAAGCTCCCTTGTAATTATCCAAAGCAAACAGCACGTGTTATTAGTTTAAAATGATTTTTTTTTCCCCCTCCCCGGGCCCCTGGAGCAGAATGGAGGTGTAATTGTGCTAAGGAGTTAGCAGGGGAGAGCACAGCTTTTGGTCACATTCAAGTTGGAGGGCTTGAGCCAGGGAGGCTGGTATGAAAGGCTGGTATTTGCATAAGCAGCGTGCATCCCTACAAAAAAGAAAGATATCAGGGGCTTGCAAAATTCAATCAAGGCTGGGAGGGAAGGAAAAAAAAAAAAAAAAGGGGGGGGGGGGGGGGGGGGGGGGAAATTGACAGTGAAAAAGGTTTTTCTAAGTAACACCCTGGCGAGATTAAATTGTCCAGAAAGTTTCTCCGTGTGAGCCGGTGAAGCGGAGGCTGGGCTGAGGGCAGGGGAGGAGCGGGGTCCCTCCTTCCTGGCCTCAATAGGGGATAGGAATCTGATTAGGCAGAGTGTTCTGCATCCATTTACCATTATTTGAGGGTGTTTTTTTTTCCCTTCCCACCGCCCAGAATTACTGTGGCGGGGCAGTTTTGTCAGCTTATAAACCTCAGTGCTGGCTTTGTAAGGACACAAGGAGGCACAGGAGCAAGTTTTGGGGCAGAGGCTGAACTGTAATTTCAATTATTTATGCATTGCTTTTTTAAAAAAGAGTGATAATAATTCCACATGCTAGTTTGTGGGATGTTTTCCCTGCACAGGGCATTGGGGAAGGAAGGCAGCATTGGGCTGGGATCAGGTCCTGCAGGCACCCACAGTGCTAGGCTGAATTCTGACTATAGAGAAAGTGCGTGCAGGAGATCTGGGCTTTCCTAAAGCTTATGTCAAATCAGTCGGGTCAGACCATCCCCTCCTTCCCTCAGTTACTGAGTGTCTGAAGCTGCAAACCCACCAGCCAGGCAAAGGGTAATTTCCAGGGTGGGTTGATGTCTGATACCAAGGAGCATCCTCTCTATCTTCACCACAATGGAGTTTCTCTGTGGGCCACAGCCAGCTCACCCTGTGCCTGCAGAAGGCAGGGGGCTTTACCTGCCAGGTTAAGGCTTTTCCCTGGTGAGCGCAAGGGTTCAGCCTCCTCCTCCTCCTCCTCTCCTGGGCTTGCGAAAGCACCCACCACCATTCGGATCTCATCTGCCCTGACCTCAGCATCCTTACCAGCCTTGGGGGGACATTGGGGATGACTCCTGATCTCACATAGGATAAAGAAGGTGCTGAGCCTTGGCTTCTTGCAGCCTGGGTCTCCCTACACACATGCCAGCATGGGGTCCCTCCTCTCAGCACCCTAATTCTCCAGAGACAGCCTTTGGTCCTTCCCCAAACACATGCACATGGGGTGGGTTTGGCCTCTGCCTCTCTTAAGTTTTAGGCTTGCTTCAAAGTTGCAAAAAGGAAGGGATTTTCCTTGGATTTCCATCAAGTGCTTTATGAATATTGCAATAAAGGGGTTACAGAAGATCTATTTTTAAGAGAGAGAAAAAATACCCATGAAAATTGCAGCCTGGACCCCAGAGTGTAGAGTATTTGCACAGTTCAAAGAGTTACGGTGGTTCATCCAGTCACAGCCCGGGAATGTCGTGGTGCGACCTACAGCAGATCACATGCCGGCTACTCCCAGGGCGGCTCATTAGAGAGCCACACAGAAGATTTATCTCTTAAAATGGGCTTGCAAATATTTTATAAAATTTGCAATATTTTATAAAATTACAATTTGGTGCAATAGAAAGAATAAATTAGCCAGCTGATGGTTCCTTTTGCACTCTGGATCCAAGTGTACTCCAGGATTAGTCGTATTACTCTTTACCCCTTCAAATGTAACAGTTTATAGGCAAAGCAAAGCGAGGACAGCAAAAGGATGGGACTGGTTTGGGGGCTAGGGAATATACTCTCAACACGGGTAAAGTGTAAAGGAAATAGAGAAAAAAAAATCAGGAAAAAGGGATGAGAACGTGCTGCAAGGTGTGAGGTGTGTGGCGCAAAGCACGGGAGGTGCAGGGAAGGCTGAGAAGGGGACTTCTGCTGAGTGTCACAGCTTCGGCTCCAGCTCGGTGTCTTGGTATCACTTTCTCCAGCCAGGCAAGGGCGCCGAGGGCAGGGAAAGTTAACACGAAGATTAAAACATCAGAGGGCTGTGCCTTTAGTGGCTCTGACATGCAGAGTAATCCCATGCCCCAAAGCCTAGGGAGGAAGGACAAGCGGTGAGCCCTCCCCTGGCTGGCGGTGTGCGGGGCAGGCAGAGGTAGAGGGTTGAGGAGGGCGCAGGGTAAGCTCGGTGTCTTGAGGACCATGGTTTTCCCGGTTGGGAAGGGGGAAAGGTGGTCCAGAGCTGTGAGAAATGGGTGGTGAGGAGGGAAAGAGTATTGGAGTTTCACACCATCAGTGAGACAAGTTGGTCTGTTCTCAACTGAGCGCTGTTGGACCGTTTCCCTGACAGAGGTCATAACCACTCCATTTTTTTTCTTTCCTTCCTAGATCTCAGTGAGCGGAGAAGGGATTTTTCAAGCCTGTGGGTTCCTTTTTGCTGTTGGCTACCGCCTGTCCGGACTTGCCACCTGACTTCTTCAAGTTTCTCCAAGAGGGTCTCAACTGCTTCTCCATTGGCCCCAGAGAAGAGGCAGCTTTGACTCATGAGCACAGCGGGTTTCTGCATCACTTCGAATCATGCCGGTCCACCCATGGGGAGGGAGCCAGGGCAACACAAGGGATCATCCCACATCACTCCTGTATGTTGCCTTCAGTGCCCTCAATGCCCCTGAGCAGGACCGAAGTGCTTAGACAGAGAGACCCAAGCCAGTCACTGTGACACCTGGTGAAATACCGGGTGTGTGTGAAGATTGGAGGGAGCTTTTAGCCCCCAGCTTTGCTCATGGAGCAAAGCTTGGCCCTTGCTGCTCTTGATCCCTGGGTCTGTGGAGCTGTGGGAGCGCAGCCTTCCCGAAGGCACTGTGCTTGTGGCTCAGAGGACCCCGAGCCTGTCCAGGCCAGACAGCCCTGCTGCTGTTGTACTACACCCTCTCTGTTCCTGTAAGAGAAATGAACTGCCTGTACTTATCTCCCATTCAAATCCCGCCCCCCCATGCACTGTTGAAAATAAACTCTCCCTTTTGCAAAAAGTGAGCCGTGTGATTTGGTGCAATCTCGAGATGGTGGAGGCAATGGGCACAAAATAAACCCAGGCAAATCAACAGGGAAGTGGGAGCAGCCATGAGCCAAGCGGCCTGGCTGCGCCGTGCCCCGCATCAGGCACATTTCCCTGAAAGCCCAAGCGAATCCCTCGCCGCTCAATGATCTTTATTTGGTCTGAACCCCGTCTGGGAAGTAACCGCTAAACCCAATGCAAACAGACCCCCGTGAAAGAATATAATGAATATGTCTCTCAAATGATTTGGAGCCCTTCTGCCTGCAGAGCAGGGTTCCCCATTGTGCCCCGCTCCCGGCGTGCTCGGGGCAGGCTGCGCGAGGTGGCCGCTTTCCCAGCTGAAATCCGAAAAAAGCAAACAATGGGTCAAGGCCGGCATTGTGCGAGCCCAGGCAGGCAGAAGGAGCGCAGCCCGGCATGGCCAAGTTCAAGGCTGGGCAGGGGGCCGGGCGCGCGGGGATGCTAATGGGGGCTGTGCGGGGGCCGCAGAGCAGGGGGGTCAGGGGCTCTGCGTGCCGTTATCCTGTGCAGCCACGAGCACCCAAAAACCACCTCACAGAGAGGCAAAGGGACATGATTGCCCGGTGCAGCGAGGGGTGCTGGGGGCACTGGTGGCACTGGGAAACTTGGGTTTGCTGGAGGGCTGACGGTACTTAGGGAGCTGGTGTTGCTGGGGAGGGGGGAGTTGGTGTGAGTTGCAGGACTGGTGTTACTGGGGATGGACTGGTGTTATCGAGGTGGTGCAGAGGAACTGGTGTTGCTAATGGGTATGACTGGGGGAACTGGTGCTGGGGGCGGGGGGGGGGGGCTGCAAATGGAAATGATGGCACAGTACGGGGCCCTGATAGTGCAGTGTGCATCCAAGGGATGATCTGGGTTTGGGAGCCTCGCAGAGGATGCTGCCTCTTTGGGTCTGCCCAGTGCTCCAGGCCCAAGCAGGGACCCCCCCACACTCCCTCATCTCCCCGGCGCTCCCCCCTCCCCGGATGAAGTGTGCGGAGACAGGCGGAGCGGCCCGTGGAAAAACACCATGGAGGGCCCTCACAAAGGGGGTTTTATTCAAATTTGTTTAGAGTTTAGCGGATTTGCATGAAAAATGTGTGAGAAAAGCCGGCTCCAATGACCTCATCCCCAGCTGCCATTAATGTTCAATTAAGTGCTGAATAGTAGCAAAGGGGGAACCGGCCGGGACGTGCAGAGAATCCAGGCTCGGGCGCAGACTGTGAGAACCGGGCGGCCCCCCCGACCGTCTGGCCCCGGCCAGCCCCGACGGGGTCCCCCCGCCGCCGCCCCCCTCCGCACCGGGAGGTGCGCTGAGCCTGTCGGATCTCAGCCCGTCTGGGTTATTCCCTGGATCACTCGTATCCTGAAGCAAAGTGCCCCCCCGGCAAAGGTGGGTGTTTAGGGGAGGGGGGGTAATGCCCCCTCACTGCGCCGCCGGGGCTGTTGTCACTCACCCCGCAGCCCGCCTCGCCCGGCCCAGAGCCGCTCTCCGCCTGGCAGACGGTGTCAAAGCCCAAGTTCAAGTCCACGCCGAGGGGCTCTGCCCCGGGATTCCCAGCTCCTTTCCATCCTCCGCCTTTTGTTCGCCTCTGACAATTGCTCTTTATTTCTTACACACCCCCAGCCTCCCCCCGGCGCCCCCCTCCCTGCCCGCACTTGGCACCGTTTAGCTGTCTGCCTGCAAACTTAACAACCCCAGTTCTTGGTATAAGCACTCAAATTATCCTTCTTTCTACATATAAACACGGCCCGGGGTGTGCGGCTCTCCCCGGCCGCAGGGTCCCCCCGGCACAGCCCGGCTCCCCCGCACCGACCCCGGCCCCGGCCGGAGGAAGTTTCTGCTGCGGGACACGGCAGGAGAAAACGAGCCGGATCCAGAAGCCCCCGCTCTGCGGGGCTCCCCCGGGCCAGCGCTCAGGTAAGGAAACACACACCCCCATTTGCTTTTGGGGGGCTGCCTCTGCTGCGGGGCGTGATGACACAGCAGGTTCAGGGGAAAGATGGGGGGAGGTGTCTCTCTGCAGGGGTTTTCGCATACTCCAGCAAAACCAGCCATGCCTCGGGCACGCTGATGCGGAGCCCCGAGCTGGCCTCCCCCGGGGGTGCGGATCTCCCCCAGCCGGGATGCGACGGGGACACTGCCTGGCGGGGGCAGCCCGAAAGCCAGAGGAGGGGGCCTTCCCAAACCTGCCTCTGCCCCGGCCTGCCTCTCTCCGCCCCCCTCGCGAGGGGAACACCCACACGGGGAGCGGGCCGGGGGGGACCCCAGCGGGCCCCGGGGGCTCCCGAGCACCGACATCTCCGGGTCCGATGCCCTCCGGGACGGGACTTCGGGACAAAGCCCGCGCCGGGGGTCAGCAGCAGCATCCCAGCTGGGTCACACCTCCCTCTGCACAGGTGTGATCCATGGGATTGGGGAGGCCATAGGATGACCGGGAGGGTGCTGTGTGACCCCGTAAATAAACCCCCTCCCAGCACCTGCAGGTGGGTAGTGCTGGAACAAACTGGTGCAGGGCGGGTCCGAGGGCATCGGACAGATTTGGGGGTTCGGCTGATTTTTTTTTTTTTTTTCCGAAGACAATTTCGGGTGAAGAAGGAGGAGTAAACACATACACTCCCACACCTTTTGCTATTAAAACAGAGATAAAGGACGAAAGGAACGAACACACCTTCTCTGGGGAAGGGAGCAAGGTTTGGGACGGGGGAAAAGAAAGGTGGGGATAAGAGGCTGAGAAGAGACAGGGAAGAGGTGGGATACCGGGTAGGGAAGCAAGAGAGGATCCCCCCAAACCCGTCCTCGAGCCCAGCGCAGCGAGGCGGGTGCCCTTCACCAGCGCCTCGGGGCGGGGCGGCCCCGCGGACGGGGACGCCGGGTGACCGTGCCGTGCCTCGGGACCAGGGCTGTCACGTCGCATCGCGTCATGCAGCATCGTGGAATATAATACAAAGCCATAAATTATAGCTTAACATAGAATATATGTGTTGTATACATATATATATGGAATGGAGCGTATATTCTATTGCATTGCAGCCGTGAGCCGTCCCGGGTTTACCCCCGTCCCAGCGGCCCCTGGAGTGTGTGTGGGGGGTCACGCCTTGCTGTGCCGAGAGTGCGCTGGGGTCGCAGCAAGATCTCCTCCCATCGCCCCAAAACAGAGTCCTGCGCTCCCACAGGCGTGTTTAACAATAGCGGCGTGGGCGCACCTCGGGGCCGTGGGAGAGGCCGAGCTCTTTTTTTTTTTTTTTTTTTTTTTTTGGTGGCTATTTAAAAAACCCACACCGGCACCAGTGCCTATGTCTGTCCTTTCCGTGGGCCCACACGCGTGTGTACACACGGCTGCTTCTCCCTGCTAGTGCCCGCGGACACACCTCACCCCCTCAGCAGAGGAACCAAAGGCGAGCCCCTCCAGGGAGCCCACCCGCGGCTCCGCTCCCACGGGGACCTCGCACAGCAGTCACAAGTTGCCGGGGTCTCAGCACCCGGGCAGGCGTTGAAGCCCCTAGAAAGGAGGGAAAAGACTTTTTCTCCGGTCGGTGGGAAATAAGAAATACCCCCGCTCGTGGAAACCGCCAGGATTTGGCTCTAGTTGTGGGGAAGGCAGGATGGAGAGGCGAATAGAAGGGATGGAGGAGAAAAAGGGATGTAGCGGGAGAGGGAGAGCAGGAGGCGGGGATGGAGAGATGGAAGGGGAGAAGGACAGATGGAGGGATGGAGGGGCAGAAGGAGGGATGAAGGGTAGAAAAGAAGAAATGGAGGTTGGAAGAAGGGGGACGAAGGATGGAAAAGGAAGGATAGAGATGTGATAAAGGGGGATGGAGGCGAGAGAAGGAAGGATGGAGAGGGAGAAGAAGGAATGGAGGGTGGAAAAGGAGGGATGGAGGGGGGAAGGAGAGATGGAGGGGGGAAGGGTGCTGCGCCCCCGATTGGCTGCCTAAGCACAAAATCCGGCGATGGGTTTGCGGAAAGGGGGCACGGATGGGCCGGGGGCTGCTGGGGGGCAGAATTAGGCGCTTGGGCGGCTGCAGGGCCCCCCCGGCAGCCATTTTGTGGCAGTACCTGCCGTGGTGCCAGGGCTGGGCAGCGGGGCTGGAGTAGCGCCCTGCCCGGCCCTGCCCTGCCCGGCGGGGCCGTGAGGGGCTCGGGGCGGGGGGAGGCCTCCACGCCACGGTGGGAAACGTATTACCGCGCCCGCCACGCTTGCCCATTGACAGAGATAAACATGCAAATGAGTCGCTTTGCATGTCATTAGCATACAGGCAGATTGCGGGGGGAGGGGCCGCAGTGTGCGCACTGCAGCGTGCTTTAATGCAACACCCAAACAGCCATTGCGGGTCTCTCCCGCCAGCAGCACCTGCGGCTCCCCGCGCCCCCCGCCGCGGACAGTGGCACCCCATCACCCTCTCTCACCCCCCGGCCCGCCAAGCGGCCACCGGGGCTGTCCCTCTGGGTACCCGCCTCGCCCAGCCCTGCCTGGGACTGCAGGGCACAAAGACACACAGGAGTAAATAAAGACAAACCTCGGGCAGTGTTCTTTTGGGGCTATTTCTGGTTTTTTTCCACCTATTTCTATATTCTTTCACCTGGTGCAGGGGAGCGGGCGGAGGGCCCTCGGCTACCGCCTCTTGCAGCCCCGCTCCGCCGCCGCCTTTAATTCGTGGGGTGGGTGGAGTGGGAAAAGGGAGAGAGAAAATCGGTGGATTTGGGGAGGGAAAGTGCAGGGAGGGAGCACGGCTCGGGCTGAGGGGTCCCCGCGGCTCCCGGAGCTGGGGGGTGGCCGGGGTGCAGCCTCTGGGGATGCATCTGCAAACGACCGGTGTGAACCCCATGTCCGTGTCCGTCTGTGGTCATGGGCGTGTCCGCGACCTCTGCATGTGCCGCACACGCGTGTTGCAACCCCGAACCGTACCCGGGTGGGTGTGCCACGCTGCGGGGAATCTACCTGGGGGGCTGTAAGTGGGATCTGT